AGTTCGTATATAGTTAAATTTTGCCTCACATCATTTTAAACGTCCATTTTTGTTCTCATCTTTCATCTATGTTACTCCGTTCTCGAGATTAAGGACAGACAGTCAGACAAAGGACGACAGTCGAAGTTTTTAGGTCTGCAATTTTTTTCAAATTGTAGGCGAATAAATTTCTTATAAACGCAATGTTTACATGAACATACTTCCCATGTCGTTCATGCAATCTGTTGCCAAAATTTAGACACTTTATTATCAAATAAAATAGATTATTCTAGTATTTCTACGAGATTTTTTTCTATCTAAACAAGTTTTTTATATGAAGTCTTTCCAACGATAAAGTTAGCAATTTCGATCACATACGTGCCATTACAACGTGTCTAACACAGCTCTCTTTTCATGTATTAATGAATAGTAGGCCTGTATTAATTAACAGTCTCTAGCCATTCTCTTTCCCGAAGGAATGTAACGACAACTTTTCGGTGAATTATCATCAATTCCCTTCCTCAACAGTTTCTTCTTTCTATCGCACCAGCGGTATGGTGGCATTTGAGAAAAATTATTAAGTTAAGTTTCCACCAGCACAAAATATTTTTTTCGGTTTTCGAAACACGGTTTTCGAAGTGGCCGACTTTATATATTTGATCATTTGTCTATTGGGAAATTTAATTTGTCGCAGATTACTTTACGATTCGACAGTGAATCGTAAAGTATCTTACGGTTAACAAGAGAAGATATTATAACTGAAAAATTAAAGATATATTTTCAATTCCTGTCTACTTGATTATTAATAAAACTGTGCCATTTTGTACCATTCGAGTATCGTGGTAAACGTGACAATAACTTGAAGTAACGAAACTGTTCATATGGTTTTCAACTTAATGTTTGTTATATTGTAGTATTTAATTTATACAACTGCAAAGATTATTCTACGTAAGGATTTATCACAGAGTATGAGAAATCTAAAACATTTTAAGAATTTCTTAAATTGTGTACAGTAAAAGAATAATTTTTAAAATGTGTTTGATTAACCACTTGGTGTGATAAACCGTTACGTAAGATAATATTTGTATTTATATAAATCAAATGCTATAATATAATATAAAGGTTTTAACCTTTATATTATATTATAGCATAAAGTACGAAATATTCTTAATTTTATTTTTTNATGAATTTTTAAAATAATACTACTACATTGACCTTGATGACCTTAACATAGAACTATAACTGGTAAACAACTCTAACCACGCCCCCGTGGTAGTTAAAGGGATAGCATTACCAGACCGTTTATCCGATTGCCGTTAAACTTTGGGAAGTTGTTTAATATACTCCCGCGAAGGTTTGTGGCATACTACGATTGACATAAAACTTTGGGAAGTTTTTTTAATACACTCTAGCATAGTACATTTATCCTACAATAGATGGCGCGCGTTTACACGAGCATTCGAACACTGTGTGTCCGATCTATTTCAAATTGTGAAGAGCATTTCCCCCATCCAAAAAATATCTCTATATATGCATTTGTGAACTGTTATTTACGATATTTGTAATAATTTTTCTTTAATCACTTTATTTCAACTTTTTTTTTTTTTTTTTGTTAATTATGTATCAGCTAGAACTTTGTTAAAACCTTAACTGTATCTCGAACAACGACCGAAGTTTTAGGAGGAAATTCGCCTATTTTACCGTTCTAGGGATCCCCTTTTCAAATTTTAATAGCGACTCAAAATAATTTAAAAAGACAAATTACAATAAAACGGTTTATTATCCAACTATCAGAAATTTCACAACACGCCAAGGAAGAGAGGAAGGAGCAATTAAATAATTAAAATTGTAAAGGATTAAAAAATATATATAAAAATGGGGAATATCGCACTNGGTTAACAAGAGAAGATATTATAACTGAAAAATTAAAGATATATTTTCAATTCCTGTCTACTTGATTATTAATAAAACTGTGCCATTTTGTACCATTCGAGTATCGTGGTAAACGTGACAATAACTTGAAGTAACGAAACTGTTCATATGGTTTTCAACTTAATGTTTGTTATATTGTAGTATTTAATTTATACAACTGCAAAGATTATTCTACGTAAGGATTTATCACAGAGTATGAGAAATCTAAAACATTTTAAGAATTTCTTAAATTGTGTACAGTAAAAGAATAATTTTTAAAATGTGTTTGATTAACCACTTGGTGTGATAAACCGTTACGTAAGATAATATTTGTATTTATATAAATCAAATGCTATAATATAATATAAAGGTTTTAACCTTTATATTATATTATAGCATAAAGTACGAAATATTCTTAATTTTATTTTTTATTATTGTCCGGGCAACGCTAGGCTCATTTGCTAGTTTGTCTATAAAATCAAAGCATGTTATTATTACTATTTTGCATTTTACGACTGCTGTATAAGACAGGATTTTTTACTAAGACATGTATTCATTACGCTTACTTTTGTAAATAAAATAGAGTAATTAAACAAACTCTGAATAAAATTTCAATAAAACATTATAAATGAGAAGCCATATTATTGCGGCAATTAATGTGACAGATTAATAAATAGTTTTATTGTTTGGTTTATAAAATATATGTCTAATTACTTGGCCATTACGAAATTTTCGGAAATCTGAAAAGATTTTATCAGTTTGATTGAACAACCAATTCTTGGAATATTATTAAAATTCATTTCCTCAACCTTCGAGCAATCTTATATAAAACAAGATTATAAAAGATAACATTATTTCCTTGTTCACATATGCACATTATTTTATGTTATATTGTAAATTTATTAAATATTAAAAATTCGTTTTAAATTAGTAAAGTTATAATTTAAGGTTGTATATTGTGAAATATAATTAAAATCTTTTAAAATATTATTATCTATACTATAAATAACTGTGTACTTTATACTTATCCTCATCCCTTGAATAAAATGTAAAATCGAATTGAAAACGATTTCCTAATATCACCAATAAATAGTTACTACAAAACTTTATATTTAACTACACTCAAAATTTCCGACGGTGTGCATTTTGTTCGATTAAATTATTTCCATATTTTAGAATATGTTGCAAAATATAATACGCGTGCAGATAAAGAAAAAAACGCATAGTGTTTTAATGTTTCGGAAATTAATCAACCGATCAATTCATAATCACTTGAAAGTAATCAAAACATATTTCCCAAATAAATTTTATTTCAGACATTATTTACATATTATTCGGCTGCAATTTAAAGAAAATTGCACACTTTTAAACTCCCATTGTCTGCCTTTACTTACTCTCGAAATCGAGTCAGATAAGTGAAAGTGGAGACAAAGTATAAAAAGAGAAGAGACGGTAGGATTGGATTAACTGTACAAAAACTTCCTGTTTACACANAATTTAAAGAAAATTGCACACTTTTAAACTCCCATTGTCTGCCTTTACTTACTCTCGAAATCGAGTCAGATAAGTGAAAGTGGAGACAAAGTATAAAAAGAGAAGAGACGGTAGGATTGGATTAACTGTACAAAAACTTCCTGTTTACACAGGAAGTCACGTTATTTTAATTTAAATATTTTTCCTGGAAGCTGTTAGATGATCGCCACGATTTTGTTGTTACCAGGATAAATATTTTACACAGGGGCAAGATGCTGCCAGTTTCATGTGGAGACCATATATTTTAAATAAATTAAAAATCTGAGCCCGGAGATGAAACCAAGTCACAATAAATAATTTCTCTATTATTATGAATATAAGAATCGTAATGTACAGTATTCGCATATGTATTTTTTCAACCACTACCAAATAAACAGGAGGATAACATTATAATTTTTTTTAATATTCTTTATTATAGCCACGAACGTAATAATAAAATGGAGTATTTTTCAAGTATAAACATAAATTATGTGTAAAAATGTGTTTAATCCATAGCACTCTTGGTACACAAAATTACGAATGTTTGTGATAAAGTACATTATTGATTCTAGTAGATCTAGTCCTCATCTGTAAGTACTGTATATTCTGATAAATTAATTAAGATCATTTCTGTTTGTTTTTAACGCAATTATTAATTAAGTTTTACATAAAAGATTATATTATAATATTGTAAATATTACGATATTAATTAATATCATAATAGTTATAAACATTACGATATTCTTATCGTAATAACTATAAACATAATTTTTAACGTTAATTGTCACAACTTGAATACACTCAGAATAATGCAGATAAAAATATTTCAATCTAAAATACAGATACGGGACATTCCAATTTTCAACGCTGACTCAGCGCTGATCTCAACGCTCGTTAAAATTCGTTCCTTTTTTCAACGTTGAGGTAGCGCTGTTGTCAGCGCTGACTCAACACACTCAGCACTCAACAGATATGTTGACTGCTACTTTACAATGAATTGTGGGTAATTGGAGCGACATTTGAACGAAAAATGGCGACCATGGAGATGCACGTTACTGTGGATGGAAAAAGTTATAACTTTGTGGTAGATGAAAAAACTGGAAAAATGATGACGGAAGGTAAGATTTTAAAAAATTGAATATCATTTCAAGTAAGCAATAAATTTATTTTTCATTGTTTTTGTCAGATCACGATTATTTACTTTCATTTATAAACAAACTTCGATGTGAGAAGAGTTCATCTACAGGTACTGTACATATTTTATATTAATAACAAATTGAATGTTGTATTTAACCAAATAGATAATTATTGTTTTCATAAATTTTAATGAAATTCCTCTATTTTATTTTTTACATATATATTCAATGATAGAACAATCATCATCTGAAAGATCAGAAAAAACAAATGTACAACTTTCAGAAACAGAAAAAATTGGTAAGTATATATTAAATAATAATATACAATAAGGATACTTTGTAATTATTATATATTGAGATTTTCTTTTAATTAATGCAATTCAAATTGAACAAATAAACATATATAAATATACATGACCAAATAAACATAAATAGCAGCTTTATATTAAATATAGACAATATACATTTGATAGAATAAGTGTTCATTAATTAATTTTTTGATTAATTATTTTTAAATGTAATAGTTCAAAAAAATTTTCTTGACAATACCAAAACAGTATGTAGTATTATGTATATTATATCAGATATCAGAGATTTTGTGTAAATAATAAATTATAGCAAACTATATAAGAATGCAAAATAAAGATTTTTTTGTTGTAATTTTTAAGCTAATAAATGGACTCGCCAAGCAACCCTTCTTCTTATAAATACAAGGATTGAAATGGAAGAAGAATTCCTCAAGCCAATTCAGAAATCCAAACTATGGCTAAGGATTTCTGACACACTGAAAAAAAATGGGTACACATTTCAGGCAACAGAATGCCANTCAGAGATTTTGTGTAAATAATAAATTATAGCAAACTATATAAGAATGCAAAATAAAGATTTTTTTTTTTTGCAATTTTTAAGCTAATGAATGGACTCGCCAAGCAACCCTTCTTCTTATAAACACAAGGATTGAAATGGAATAAGAATTCCTCAAGCCAATTCAGAAATCCAAATTATGGCTAAGGATTTCTGACACACTGAAAAAAAATGGGTATACATTTCAGGCAACAGAATGCCACGCTAAGTGGCGAAATTTAATGTGTACCTATAGAAAAAATGTGGACAGAACAAAAGAATCTGGTGGGGGTGCTGTAAAATGGGAATATTTCCATACATTTCATGAAGTGTATGGAAATAGATCAAATGTGGATCCCCCCAATAACTACCTTAGAAGTTCTTTGTCATATACCTCTCGAAGCAACGTTCAACCACATGAAAATAATTTAATTTCTGGAGCAGAATTGGAGCAGAATTTAATTTCTGCTCCAAGTACATCCAATTCTCAAAGGGAAACAGAAACTGAGAGACCGCAAAAGAGGAAGAAAACTAGTGATGAACCACCATTGTGGTTTAAAAAATATTTAGAAGAAAAAAAAATAGAAGACCAAAAAAAAGCAGAAATTGAAGAAAAACGATGGACTGACTTAAAAAAAATAGAAGAAGAGAAATTAAACGCCATGAAACAATTAACAGATGTTTTATTGAAATTGGCAGAAAATAAGAAAATGTAAAATATTTCAATATTTTAATAAAATTTTTTTTGTTTCAATGACTCATAAATGTATTTAAGATTTACCAAAATACATCTATTCAAAAAACGAAAGCACTTTCAATAATGAACAAAGTTTATTAGAATTATGTAATTCACAATTACAAATAACTAAAAGTAATAACAAAATGTTAAATACATGATTAATACTTTTCCTGAAACTGGTTCAAATATTTAATAAAATTTTGTTTAAATTACACATTATAAATGCAGATGAACATGGCATCATTATGATTAAAAATTCACAACATAACAGCAGACAATAATAATAATTACAAACTTGATTTTAATGTATTAATAGAAAAAAAAATAAAAGTATCAATAGATACTTTTTAACCATTATGATTGGCATATAATTTATTAGCAATTTCCTCTCTTTTGCTAATTCCATCTTGATACTCTTCTCCAAAATTCTGAGAACTGTTTTGCAAATTACCATTTATAGCACAAGCATCTGGAGGTATATCATTATATAAAATGCACAAATTATGCAATACACAGCCAGTTATTATCACTTCTGGAATCAAATCCCTTCGAAACATATGTAGATGTTTCAGCCTTCTAAACCTGCCAAATAATTGTCCAAATGCTTGTTCAATAACAATTCTAGTTGAACTAAGAGTTTTATTGTAATATTTTTTAATATTGTTTAAGTGTCCATTATCACGATAAGGAGTTAATAATTTTTTGGATAATGGATATGCACTATCACCTAATAAATGATAGTTTTCTGAAATCATCTCAGGATTATGTTTTATTTTTAGATAGAGAGGACTCCTTTGGAAAACTCTGGCATCATTTGATGAGCCTGGCCAACCAGCAAAGACATCTATAAATTTTAATTTCGCATCACATACAGCCTGTAGAATGACAGAAGTGAAATTTTTTCTGTTGAAATGTGCAACCTTTTCATTTTTGGAGGCTGTAAATGGAATATGAGTTCCATCAATACAGCCTAAAACTCCAGGAAAACTGTTGCACCCTCTCAGTTCATTAAATTCTTTAACAGTTTTTT